CATCACATATCTAAAATCATATTGTAAAGCTACAGTGTGAGTCTGGGGGCCATTCCCCAGCCTTCGCCACGTAGGCAGTGCACATTCCGCAGCCTTCAGGGGCATCTCTGCAGCCTGAAGGCCACAGGGCTGGTGGGGAACCAGGTTCCCCCTCACTTGCTTGGACACGAGTCATCAGTGTTATGCAGCACAGCTGCCAGGCAGAGAAGAGCAAGGGGTGTTTGCTGGCCAGTCCTCCTCACGGTGGATGGCAGTTCCTGCAGAATCAGCTGTTTCCTTGCCTCGTATTTCAGATCTCTGAGCCTCTTGTAAGCAGTGGAAAAGCACTCCTCAAACTTCAAACTCTCAGCTTTCCCACTCCCCCCTGCCCCATTGCCACTTCTCACCCTGTGACAAGTTGTGTGGAAGGCTTTATTCAACCCCTGACTGGAGTCTGTTTGTTGTTAGTATGGGATTTATCATGATCTAGCTGATTGCAAAACTGCTGTTGAATGGTCCTTTCCAAGGGGCTGCTTGGAAATGCTGAGAGCAGAAGCAGCACACAGACCTGCTGCTGGCTCCATGACCATCAGCCATTTCACCATCAGCCTTGGGCAGGTTAGGGAATGAAGGCTTCATTTGGTTCTCTGTCAAATCAAAATAGACTGCATTTTGTAGAAACAAAGACCCCAAAACCTTAATATTGTCTGGCAACAGAGCCATGTCATCTGGAAGGGCAAGGAAAAAGTGCAACCCTCAGCACAGCTTCCCCACATACGCAAAAGAAAGTGCCAGTCTTCACCTCCAAGGTATTGCCACACCAGTAACACAGGCTATTGTAGCCTCAGCCCACATGCACCACACATGCAGAACAAAAACAGCTTCAGAAAGTGCCTACAGACCCTGGAGATGACATTGACTGTCCTCTCTTTCTTTCCATCTTTAAAACACATATTTTCTCTCGATGTTTTCTTGCCTATTTTACTAAATCCGTACAAAATCAGGGCAGGGAATAATTTCCTTTTACTGGGTTTCGCTTTATCAGCCCTGAAGCTGTGGCAGGAAGCCCATGGGAGATTCTCACTGTTTCACACAGTGAGAAAACAAAAGATCCAGTGCCACCAACTGTGCCAAACTGACTGCTTTTATAGTGCCACAGGTGACAGCACAGTTGTTTAAGATGCATATTACTCACCTGCCCTTTTTCATGCTATGGGAATCCCTTGACAACTAATTTTCAGTAGAAGTGTTCATCACAATGCAGGAGTTGAAAGGTCCTTTGCTCATCTGTCATTACAGCAGATACAGACGATGACTGATAACAAACAGATGAAAGTTTCTTTTGATGGTATAGCTTACTGATATATGGTGTAACAGGTCTCAAAGGGGCCTTCCATGCCTTAAAATTCAGTCTGTGCTTGTGGGTAGCTACATCAAGTCTTCACATTTGAAGTATAATCACCAGAATCCAGCAGGAGTACATCACTCCATGGAACTAGAAGGAAAATTGTTCTCCTGAGCATCTCCCAGCTGGTTGCATGGGCTTCCCCTCCTCACTGTCTTCCAGAAGGGGACACAGGTTGAAGAGGGCTGTATGGGGCTTGGAGATGGCAACCCTGCCCCAAGCTTCCCCAGCACACAATGTCTCTGAGGGGGGTTGTGGTGGCCACCAAACCTACACCAGTGTGTGAGCAGGTTGGAACTGTGTCCACACTGGCTGCAGGTGTGAGGCTGTACCCCCACGTGCAGCTAGTGGCAGTGGGGAGCCTGGACGAGGACTATGGACACTCATGCTGCTCCTCGCCAGTGAGGGTCTTCTGGGGCTGGTTGCTTGGAGCTGTGGGCACCTTTGCACGCGGGCAGCCACTGTTGTCAAGCAAAGGCAGAGCTGCACACAAAGCTCCAGCCACAGCAGATGTGCCAGTAAGGACCCTGATGCGGTGGTGTGGGTGAAGGCTGAGCCTTGTCTGAAGCACTCTTGCACTGCATGCGGCGTGTGGCTATGCCCTGTGCGCACCCTCCCCTGGGGTCTTGTGAAAGCTCTGCCAGTGTGCACTGGGGCAGCTGTGTTGGTTGGTGATCACAGCTGGTGCTTCCTCATGGGGGGAGTGGGTTCAGCCTACCTGCTTTCCTGGGGGTTTCTCTGTTACTGCCTTAACCCCCAGAGGTCCCTCAGCATAACTTCTGGCTCAGAGGACTGCGATCTTGCTCAGCAAGTCCTAGGAAGGTTCATTTGCTAAAAGCTTTCATCCAAGGAGCTGTGCTTGTTCTGTGCTGCAAAGAAGAGACATTTCAGGATGAGTCACTGCACTGGGATGAGTTGGACATGGCTTTAGAAGTCATCAGAAACAAAACGTGGAGTATGTCAAACCAATGCCTCCCAGAGGTATAAGGAGATGGGGAGAAGAAGGTGGGAAGGCAAACACAACATGGATAAAGAAGTGCTGGCTACTCCAGTGAAGGGGAGGGTCTGAGAGCTGGAAGGGTTAAAATTTTTTTCTTCACCTGTTTGGACACTGCTCAACACGTCCTTGTAGCTTGACTGTCAGGGCTCATGGCTACCCTCCCTCCATCCACAAACGGCATCATTTGAAGAAATTGCTCTCCAGGAAAGAAGACAATTGAAATTAAGATTTATGTAATTGCTGACACAAATTGAAGCCTTGATGGAAAAGATGTTTCATCAGTAGCCTGGAAAAAAAGTATTATTACTGAAGACTGTAGGAGTAGCAGGAACAGAAGCTGACCATGCATGTGACAGGAGGAGGGATGGTATTTGACAGGTTCTGAAATAACTGAAATGAATGAAATAACCATCATGCCCAGTGAGAATTACAACTAGTCAGTGTTCTCTGGGTAGTAAAGGATCAGACAGATCCATTTGTGGGGAGAAAAATCTCATTTTCTGGAAGGAAGAAGTTCAGAACTCCTTAAAAAAGATCTGTAGAGACTTTGAATAAGCTGCAGAAGTAGCAGTTTAAATTTCAGCCACAACTCTTGAAAATTTATTTTGATGCTGCTCAACAATCAAGAATCAAAAGACAGATGCCACTTTTAGCTCAGGTGACTGTTGCTCACATTGCAGCGTGCAGACCCCATGTGTGGCTGGAGGAAGATGCGAGAGTCTGTTGTGTGGAAGTGATCAGATTCCTATGTGCAGCAGAATCTGCTCCCACAGAAAGCTCAGAAGATGGGGGAAGTATTAACTTAGTTATCTGCTATGTCCTAAAAATGTGTTCAGCCATAGAAGGAACACACATTCAGTCACAGCACAGGCATGGAGTCAAATAGGAAAATGTAAAAATGCAGATGCAGTATTGCTAGTTGGATTTTCAAGACTGGATTGGACCAAAACCCCACCCAGTAGGGAGCCAAAATCAGCTATTTCAAGCAAACATGGACTGCATGCAAATATGTGAATTGCTCCTGGGTAACTGGGATTTCATAATTCAGTAAAAAACCCCACAACCATTATACTAAAATTCCCTAGCCACAAAAAGAGTTGTGCCATGATGAGGTGTTATGCTGACCCTTTTGGTGTTTCCACTGGGGTATGCTTCTTCTAGGCAGAGGAAAATAAGTGTGTTTAGATCCTTTCTCCTTGATCCTAGGTTAAAAAAGACTTATCTGCCCAGAGACAGGGCTAAATATAGTAGCCTGCAATTCATTCTGACCCTCATTTTCTGATCTTCTCCTTTCAGACAACTATCATCTGCTCACAGCATTAATTCCTCTCCAGCCCCTGCCATTCATCAGCCAACACAGAAATCCCTCTGGCTTTGCAGGAGGGCTTGTTCTGAGAGAAGGGATGAGGTTTCTGTGACAGCCAGTACTAGAGGGTGAGGGAATCTGGGGCTGGAAAGCAAGCAGCACCCATCTCTTGCTCTCTGTTTCCCTCCTCCCTGTTTTTCCCAAGATGCGGATTGGGGAATTCTCCTGGAAGCTGTGCCCACTCCCCTGGCCTCTGCCTTTGGATGCAGTCAGAGATACAGTGGACACAAGTGGCCATTAGTGTCCCAGTCTGCCACCATGAACTCCCCTGGTCTCATGGTGGACCTTTTGCAGAGCATTTCAGCAAGGGAAAAGTGTTCTTTTTCTCTATGGCCAGATGTTATATAGGGAAGCGCACTTGGAAATGGTCATACATCACCAGAGGTAAAGAATGTTGTCCTTGAATGAAAAGTCTATCCTGCCTGGAGTGGTTCAGCCTGCTGATTCTACTGGATTTAGCTGGGCAAGGATTTAAGCGGCTGGGGAAAGGAAGGGAAGGGAAGGGAAGGGAAGGGAAGGGAAGGGAAGGAAATTCCATTTAAACTGGAATCTGGAGAATCACTGAACCACCAAGGACTTCTGTAGGTTGCTACTCACTGAGATTCTTGCTCTCAGTCTTTATTTGAAAATGGACTTGTATTGACTGACAATGAATCCTCCTGTCCCCAGTACAGGACAGGAATCACTGAAGCCAGTCCAGATTTAGTCAGTGAAAGGTATAGCCTTCTCTCACTAATATTGTGTCATTATATCTGACAGACAATAAATACATGATTCTGAACCTAGATTTCATTCATCCTAATTATTAACTCATTCTCACCACCATCCCTCCCCCCTGCCCCAACACTTGCAGTGTTTGCAGATTTAACTGGGATGATGAAAGGCTGAAACTGTCTTCAGGGCTGATGGTCCTAGTGTATCCTTCAGGAAAAGCAAGTAACTAATTTTGCTCAAGATTCACAGTTTTTACTTCTGGAGACATAAAATGTCCACAGCTCTTGCACAGCCTGCAGATTGTGTATTCTGGAAGGAAGTGTGTTCTACTTCTAAAATCAAGTGGAGTTCCACTGGTCTTGGCTAGTAATGAAGTGATACATGTTGGCCATGGTCACGTGAAAACACAAGCCCAGCAAGTTTTGCTTCCTCCCTTTCCAGCCACATCCCAAATATCTTTTCTCTTGCTCCTCCAGCACAGAGCACATAGTGAGGAGTCTTAGAAGCCTTAGCTATGTCCTCCTTCTCCAATAGAGATGAGGTTTGTTGATCACACTTTTTTGGCTAATCCCATTTGTCCTTTAATCCATGATTCCATCCTAGACAGACATGAGTTTTAAGAGCTTCTATAGTTAATCCAAAATGTGATTTGCATTTAAACCCAGGAACCGAACCATGTGCATGGTCCTGTGAAAGGAGCATTGAACAGATTTTTTTTCTTTCCCTAAAGGTGCAGATTCAGACAGTCAAGTCATTTTAACAGTGATGTGCTGTCAGAGGAAACAGTCAGACTCCATTCCCTATTCTCCATCATTAGCCATGATCATGCTGTTTTCCCTGTACATGAGATCCAGCACTCCTGTGCTCACAGCATATGTCAGCTCCGTGGGTAAATGCAACAGCAAATTAGAATAGCCAGTGCACCCTCTGGCTGTATGAACACACACGATAGTAAAAGAGAAGCAGGTGAGCGTGTAGCCAACAGCAGAGGGAGATTTGATAAAAAAAATCTAAAGCTTTCTGTGACTCTGATGTTCCTGTTGCTTTTTGGAGCACTTTGTTACAGAGCTGCCAAGAGCTTTTTTATAAAAGTACCCCTGAATCACAACTTCACACTCTCCTAGCAGCTGGAAATAGCTGGGTAAAGCTGACTTAATACAGCGTGTGAAAATGTGTCTGCTGAGAACACTTTCTTTGATGGCAGGAGGAAAGAGTCTGTTTCTTTCATTAAACAAGTCTAAGATTAAATGTTTACAAGTTGCACATGAGTGACTGGTGGAGACGCAGGGAACCTTGCCTAGCTTTGCCTGTCTGTTACCATGCAAGGGCTTTTCATAATCACAGAGACTGTTTTTGAGTGCCACTCCTTTAGTTTAGAGGGCTGAGATACAGTGGCAATGGTGTCCCCTCTTCAGGTCATAATGTTGTTGCTACAGTAGTGTAGGGCAGTTGTGATGTGGCCCTAAAGACTGCCATGTCTTCCCTCTGCTAACTGACAGTTTTCATGTCTATTACCTGGAAGTTATTTTAGTCCACCAGTTTTTAGAGTTTCCTTGTAAGGTGCTAATATGTTATTCTGATATTTTCCATGTCAATTCTAGACAACAGAAGAGATGGGAAACAATCCAACTGCTGCTTCGTAGAGGTGCAGATCCCAATGCATCAGGGGTCCCACCACACCTTCTGTTCTTTGCTGTTAAAGCTGCAGATGCAGAAGCAGTGAAACTCCTCTTAGAAAGGGGAGCCAGGACTGATGTGTGCCTTCCATCCAAGGTTTGACTGGATTATAGTTCATAATGTGGGATTCTAGTTGTGTACTGCAGCTTCGGTGGCCTACTGTAAAATATCCTGTATGTCAGCATCAGCTTTAGAATGGCCAGAAAGCTGTTTAAAGTGATTATCCTGTTCAAAGATACTCTTTTTTTAATAGAAAGAACTCAAAGCTCCTTACTCTCCACGTATTTTTTTTTTCTTACCAGTTTCCTGGTTGCCAAGCTTGTGAGTGACTGGGGAATACTTGTGAAGCTGCTCCTCAAGTTGGTAATAGCTGTTGTGATATTTAGTAGGTTTGGTGTCCGGGACCTTTAGTGTTCCACAGTCCTATAACTCTATGCTCTAGGTTTATGGTGGCTGTTTCTGAGACACAGCATGTGGGAAGAGCAAGCTTGGATTATTCTTTGAAAAATATTTAGCACTATTTAACTGTTGCTTGTGATAAACAGGAGTCTTAATGCTATGTTTGTGTTTTCAGGTAGGGGGATTAACTCCTCTCCACATAGCTGTGTCAATTCCTGGGGAGGAAGGGGTCCAGATAACACAGTATCTCCTGCATTCTGCTCCAGATCTTAATGCAAGGGCAGATGATGGAAATGAGATATATGGTCCAGACAAGGTATGTTGCTTTTTGAGCTCATCTTCTTTCCACTGTTGAAATTCAGATTGCACGGAAACCTAAGCAGAAAGTTGTGATTCCTGCCTCCTTGATTTCACAGTGAAATCTTTACATTCCACTGAAAGCTTCTTTAAACAAGCAAACAAACAAACAAAACAGCAGCCACTTGAGGTCTATAGTATTGGGTTGCAGTAAACATATCCATCTGGGTTTGGCACTCCATAACATTTGGCTATCATGCCTTATATAAGGCAGAGTTTAGAAGTCTCTTGTGTGTAGTCCACTCAAATGCCTGAAGATATGAATGCAGAAGCAGATTTGTCTGTGGTGGTACTTGCTTGTTTCATCCCCATGGAGTTGGCCTAATACTTCCTTTCTTTCCTTATTTCTCTTTTCCTTGAACCTGGCTTGTCTGCTAGATTCCTGCAGCATTTGCTGTGCTTCCAGGTTGCAGAAGGTCAGCCTAGCAGTAGACTTTTTTGGTAGTATAGCACTTTTTATTTGGAGTTGCCATTTTTGTTGATAATTTGCTACTACTGATAGAGCTATACCAGCAATATGTGCTTGTTCTGGCATTTGTTACCCGAGAAATTACTTCAAGTTGTAGTAACAAAATCATGTAGCCACAGAACAGTTGAAAGATTGGAAAGGACCTCTGATGATTGTGTAGTACAATAGCTCTGCTGAAAGCAGGATCTCATTTATAACAGGTTGCTCAAGATCTAGGCCAATTAGATTTTGAGTATCTCTAAGGGTGGAGACTTCACAACTTCCCTGGGCAACCTGTTCCAGTGGCAACGCTTTTCCTAATGCAACCCAGTGCTGTTGACCTTCTTTGCTGCAGGGGCACACTGCTGGTTTATGTTCAACTTGTCCACCAAGACCTCCAGGTTCTGTTCTAGAAGTTTTTTTCCATCTGTATGTACTGCTGCCTGGAGTTATTCCTCCCTAGGTGCAGGGAATACAACAATTTCCTTTTGTTGAATTTAATAAGATTCCTCTCTGTCCAGTTCTCCAGCCTGTCCAGGTCTCTCTGAAAAGCAGCACAACCATGTGGTGCATTAAACCACTCTTCCCCATTTTCTATCATCTGTGTACTTGCTGAGAGTGCTCTGTGTCCCAGCATTGAGGCCATCAGTGAAGACATTAAATACTATTGGCCCCAGTGTCTACCCCTGCGGTATAGCACAGCTGGACTTTGTGCTGCTGGTCACAACCCCTGATCCTCCTCACTGTCCTTTGTTTAGTCCATACTTCTTCAGCTTGTCTATGAGGGTGTTATGGGAGACAGCGTTAAAAGCCTTGCTAAAGTCAAGGTAAACTACATTCACTGCCTTCCCATCTTTCACCAAACTGGCCATCTTATGGTAGAAGGCTATCAGGTTTGTCAGGCATGATTTCTCTGTAGCAAATACATGCTGACTGCTTCCAGTCATCTTCTCATCTGTAGTATGTCTGGAGATGGCTTCTCAGAAGATTTTTCCGTCAGTTCCATAAGCTGAGGTGAGGCTGACTAGCTTGTAGTTCCTTGGTTCTTCCTTCCATTTTACCAGAAATGAAAAGAAATTCCTCAGAAAATTCCCCTGCTTGCCATGACCATTCAGAGACAACCAGAGTGGTCTTGCAATGGTACTGGCTGGCTCCCCAGCATGCCATCAGGTCCTAATCAGTTAAAAAAGAAGTTGGCTTATGTAACTAGACTAATAAAATTTATCTTGTCATGACAAGGACTAAGGTGAATGTCTGCAGGACAGGAAGATATAGATGGCTTTATCAGTTTGTATTTTAGTGTGTTTAAGTATTAAACAGGAGAACTTAAAAACTATTTATCATCAGTACTTAGTTACAGAATGGCAAGACACAGATTTACTTTCTCAAATATCACTTCTGGTTTTTATATTGATCTGGTGACCCTATGTTCATAGACATAAATGAATGATGTGAATGAGCTTGACTCAAGGCAGGCCCTTTGTATCTGAAAGCTTGCTTCTTCCCTCCATTCCCTTCACTGTATTGTTTGGCCCGGTAAAAGTTATTAACATAAGGCTCTCAATTTTGACTTCCATGGATTTCTCCAGTGGTTTTATTAAACTTCTTAGTTTGCAGTGTGAAAGCAGTCTATCAGATGAGACCTGAATATAGATGAGAAAGTAGAAAAAGGGTGGCAGTTGCTTTTGTGGGGCTGAATAACAAGTCTTGTCCATGATTGAGATCCAGACCAACGGGTGACCAGGCAGGTTTATTTTTTGTTAACTTGTCTTTAAGCTGTGTTGTAAATGTGGACATCATTTTGCTTAGATTCCTCAGACTCAAGCCAGAGAAGCCAACTTGACAGGTGGTGTCACTCTGCAACTGAGAAATGAAGCAGGACCACCACAAGAGTACTTTTCATCCTATAGTGGTCCTGTCACTGAAGAAGGTGAAAGGACGGCATTGCATATTGCATGCCAAAGAGAGGATAATAGTGAGGTAAGATGATAGCATCTGAGGCTCTGCTCGCAGGGAGTAGTTCTAAATTAATCTCAAATAACATAACTTGGTGGTGAAGACATTTCATTCCTCTAAGTAGATGATTGAACACCACGAATAAACTCTTTTTCTACTGACCTGTTAGTGTTATAGTGATTAAAAATCTACGAGCACTCGAGGAAAAAATGTTTCTTAAATCTTTGGAGTTCTGTTTGACAAGAGAAGCTCCTTTAGTCGAGTTTCCATTGGTTAATTAGCCATTAACTTAATCATCCGCAAGGCCAATTTGAAGTTAGACAGTCTTAGTTTTGGCTTGCACTAACATCTGTGCACTTGAATTTGTACTATAGTAACATTCTTCTAGTAGATTTGGGATGTATACAGTTGGAGAAAAGTATTTGAGAGAGGAGACCTACTTCTTCAGAAGCAAACCATACATTCATTCTGATGGCAGGATTAATGAGATTTGATAATCTGGTTGTGAAGAGGTATAACATGTATAACACCACTATGCATGGAGTTTTCAGTCATGAAGGAGTAGATGTATATTTTTACTATTAACATATTTTAGGTGAAAGGTTTGAATGTCTTTTATGCTAACTTTATTAATTATACTGTTATTATTACATTTAATATTAAAAAGTTAACTTTATTGTGATCTTACTCTACCTTTTTCCACCACACTTGCCTACAAAGCGTGCCAGGGATGTTATCCACCTCCTTTTAATGAATCACGCAAATCCAAACATATTGTGGAGTGGCCATTCACCACTTTCCTTAGCAATTGCCAGTGGGAATGACTTGGTGAGCATCTTTAAGTTCCTTCATATTTTGGGATGTAGTTCTCCATTCATGTCTGCCTTCTCTGATGACAGCCAAACAATATAATGAGTGGTGCTTGCAATCACATATCCTTAGTGTGTTGTGGTAAGGCATTAGCTGTCTTTTTCTATCTGTTAAGCCACAGATCTTTTTCTATCTGTTAAGGCACTCAGATCACAGCCAACCCTTGCAGGAGGTTAAAACTTTAGCGGGAACAAAAACACAGACACCAATATGATGGTTGCTACTTGTTCAACTTCTTAGCTGCGCAATTGCCTTATATATGCTCCTTAAAGGGATCCACCTTAGGCATGGCTGTGTTTTGGTAACATTCTTCTTTGGCATGTTTGATTGGTTCTCTCTTCTTCCCGGACATCACGAGGTCTTCCGAGTGCCTCTCCCTACTCTTCCCCCTCCCCATGCTATATAGCTATATTTGTAATAATTGAACTGCTTGTTGTTCTATTTCTTCATATGTAGGGTTTTTTACTCCGTTCCCTTTTTCCTTTGCTTTCTCTTTGTTCTTTTCCCGTATTCACCACAGCTGCTGCATGCTTCTCTGTACTGCTTGCCCATACGTTGGGTCTGGGCAAGATGGTTCGTCTAGTGAACGATCCAAGTAGCCAAAGGCCATAGAAAATCTGCAAAAAATTTTAAGAAGAAATGGTCATTTCAGGTTTTATACATCGTGCAGGTATCCATATAATTAAACCATCCTTTTCCACTGCTGCATACCCACGCTCACTCTCAGTGACCAGCCCGATTCCCATGCCATCGCTCCTGGTTCCTTGACCTGAACCAAAGGATATTTTTTTTGTCGCCTGGGTTGGCATAATGTGTTTCCAAGGGGAGGTGCGGACTCGTCACCTCTAACAAAATGATTTAAAGCATAAAGTGCGCGGGACAAAAGAGTCTGCTGTCGGTCTATGGGTATTGTCCCCTTATGACCTTCCCCCTCCCCAAGCTGTTGTAGTTTTGCTTTTAGGGTGCGATACACACGTTCCTCTATTGCTTGCCCTTTTGCCCTCTATGATTGGTCCCAGCGTGGTGTCCATGTGCTGTTCTCCTGCTGGGCAAACATCTTGCTTTCAACAGTACGGCTTTCTTACCTTTTGCTATGCACACTGTTTGCCAGCCCCTTGGCTTTGCAGGTGTTCTTCACAACAGCTACAGCCTGTTGTTACAGTGAGGCCGCTCAGTCTGGATCGTTCATAACATGTCTGTTGGGTTTTTTTTGTGGGGTTTTTTTTTTGTGGTTTTTTTTTAACCAGTCCATGAATCCCTCTTTTTTTTTTTTTTGAGCAATCTAGACCCCTTTTATTGTTCAGTCCATCATTTTCATAAACCACTTCCACACACAGCTTAACATCATGAAAAGATTACAATGACAATCAAAACTGTTACTCAGTATAAAATCAAATCCTTTAACCATCTAGTAATTGGTAACCTTTTAGCTGAATCATTATTAAATATTCTTTCTTCTTCGAGATGTAAACCCATTGTGTAAGCATCACTACAAAACCAAGTGTCATTTACTGGTACTGCTGAAGGAGTCATGTTTTGCCATCCTAGCCTATATACATCCGCAGGCCTAATCTCACATGCTGTTCCCAGCTACTGGGGGAAGAGAGCCTCTCAGCTCTAACTCCAATCAAACAGGTCTGAGATGGATCGGCAGCAGTTGCTAAGCCCAGGCAAAATGCTGATTGATTTTTCCCTGCCACCTTGGCACAACTCAGCAGTTTCTTATCTATCTTACGAGGCCTGTTCTTCATCAAAGCTTAGCTGTTTCTCAGAGGCTGTGTAAAGCCAATGCCTCCCAGATCTCTCCTTTCTCTGTTTTGCAGTGGCACCTGCAAGACTTGTTTGGGAGCTGTTATCAATTAAGGGTTAGATAAACTTCAAAACACAGCATACTTAGAATAGTTCCAAAGAAGGCTAAAACAATACAGCAGTTACAATTACTAATTAAAAAGAGTAGGCTAATTTCACTACCTATAAATAAAGGATATGACTAAATACTACAAAAATAAACACTAAGGAAAGTACGGAATAGCATACTTAATTAATAGAAGTACTAACGTTCAGATCCGCAATTGCTAGGGAACCCTGGATGCAGCGAGAATTTAGAGTGCCCTTCCTCACAAACTGGAAATCCTACGCGATGCGTCCATCCGTAGGTGAGGCATCCAACACTGCTGCAAGCAGGTCTGGCCTCTAAATCAACAGGCCAAAATAACTGGCACTTTTCTTTGAGTGGAAACATCTGATTTCATCCTCCTGTTGGGTTCCACTCAGAGCCTGGCCAGTACTCCAGGGGGAAAACCAAGGGAGTTTCTAATGAAGATTAAACACTTAAACTCTTAAGTCTTAATATTCCTAAGCAAAGAAAGTTGAATACATGCATTCTTATAGCAGTTCATCCTTATTAATAACTACATTCCATCTAAACTACATCTTTCACTAGTGACTAGCAAGCCTATATATCTCATTAAGGAGTTGCCATTACTGTTAGCATTTTCTCTTAAAAGAATTGGCAACTGTAGTGTAGTTTGTCCTGCTGCAGTAGCAAACATTACCCAGACATTCTGCTTAAATGATCAGTCGAAGAGATCGCAAACTGTCAGCCCAGGGGCACTCACAGCACCCACATCTGGATCCTGAGTGCTGGCTGCCTCTCACCCTCAGGGGTGGTTGCACACACCTTGCCAGTGACCACTGGAGACTGAGACCTGTGGAGACACCAGCATAACCTCTTCCCCAGGTTATTAAAGGAAATAGTTCTTCCCAGTTAGCCCTAGAGGAGGTATTATACATGTAACACTTATAACCCTGAGCCCAAACCAACCGCAGCACCGATGACCTAGTGGGCAGTCACTAGGACCCTGTCGTTCCTCCCTGGCTGCTTCCCTGGCCAGAGAACTCCGCAGCTGCAGTGGGCCGCGTCTCACACACACAAACAATCACACAGCCACACAAAGGCGTCCCCCACACTCATTACTGACACAACATAAAATGACAAATCTTACAAAGACTCCGTTAAGAACATATGAGCGCGCGATGCCGGGCCACTCCACGGTGGCCACTCCACGGCATGGGGGGTCTCGGAGAGGCCCCGGGCTGCCGTTGCCATCTCCATACTGCGCGCCCTGATCACTGGTGGACCCCGCGGACTCCTCCGTCTCAGTAGTCTCCTCTGAGAAACGTTGCAGTCCCCTATGTGCATCCTTAGATGGATATTGTTCGGCTTGGGTGGCTTTTATCAATGCATTTGCCCTATCCCAGGTCATCAAGTGCTCTGGTTTTCCCAGTTTTGCCTGCTCTGTTAAATCAGCTTTTATTAGAGGCCAGAGCTCTGACTTCATGCAATCCATCGGCTCGCCCAAAATGCCAAGCTTTAATAATCTTTGTAGCATAGCTCTTAAAGCGCTTGACTTCATGGAAGTCTTATTTTGCATTCCCCATGTTTTAAGTCCCTTGATTTGGTCTCCATGGTGCGCCGTGGAGTCTCCCGTCCTGCGTGGAGCTCCGTCACCTCCTGCTGTGTGCCGCTGACCGCCACCGGTCCGCACACCGAAATCACCACTGCCCTCACGTCAGGGTCACCATTTGTTGTGGTAAGGCATTAGCTGTCTTTTCCTACCTGCCATTCCACAGAAATGTGGCGCTCAGATCACAGGTAACCCTTGCAGGAGGTTAAAACTTTTGTGGGAACAAAAGCACAGACACCAATATGATGGTTGCTACTTGTTCAACTTACTAGCTGCGCAATTGCTTTATATATGCTCCTTAAAGGGATCCACCTTAAGCATGGCTGTGTTTTGGTAACATTCTTCTTTGGCATGTTTGACTGGTTCCCTATTCTTCCTGTACATTGCGAGGTCTTCCGAGCGCCTCTCCTTACATTAGTGAAAATAATAAAGTTTTTACTTTTATTTCAAACCTATGAATGTTTCATGATCTGAACTAGAGGAGTACTAAAGGACAATTGTATGAGGTAGCCAGAAATATTTGTGTGGGACTCAGAAATGACTAACATTTTGGGAACTGTGTTCATTTTATGAATCACAAGAACATTCAGTTCTCTTACAGGCTGCCTCCCTACCTGGAGCAAGGTAACCAAACACGAAAAGACTTGCTTCTGGGTGTAAGACAAAAGTGTAGCCATTCATGGTAAGAATTATAAAAAAAACCCTGGATGCAGTATAATATGGAGCTAGGGTGTGCACTATGGAAGAGATTATAATAGAAGTGCCTACAGCTGTATACAAAATTAAATAGAGTCAGTATCAAGTGTTCGAACCTGAACCTTTATTCTTACACTGTCTTCATAATTTTTAAGACTGTTTTGGTATTTTACTGGGCAAAAGCGGGGTTTTGCAACACAAAAAATTTAAATTTTATGATGTTGAATTACATGGAAAAACCTGTATCCAGCATCTTCTAGTGCTTCTCCCACCTTCTCAGAGGCTAATGTCTGTTGAAGTAATGATCTAACAGGCTGTAACTGATCAACAATCAATCCTTATCTTTGTGGTAAAACATTTTTTTAAAAAAATACACCTTATGAATCAGACCAGGTGATTTTTAAAGCTACCCTCTCATGTCTTTGATACTGTTGTTTGGTCGAGTATTCCATGGTGACATTATGATTCCTGCTAAAAGAAGTGAAAACTACTGTCCAGTGGACTAAATTTTTGTGTGCAACTGAAGCTGTGACAAATACTAGCAGATACTCCAAGTGTGATGTGGTAAATACTGTAAAGCTTTAGGGTCTTGACTGATCTGGCTAGGCTCCCACTTTCCTGCTGTAGAACAGTCAATAATGGCTTCTCCAGTCACTAATTTGTCACATTTGTGTATGCACATTTGCAGGCAGTGGTTGAACTCCTCAAACATGGGGCTGACCCAAATCTGACGTTAAGTGGAGCAGTAAGAAGTGCCCTCTGTGCAGCTGTCAGTACAGTGTATGAACAGCAGAGGACAACAGCACAAAGGATTGCTTTGGTGAGAGAACATCCGGCTGTCTGTTGTTTTTTAATTTAAGAAAAACTGTGGGTTTTGTCAGGTGCATTGAGTCCCCTTTCTGTTTAATGGGTAAGCTGACTTTATTTTCAGAACAGTTAATTCATGTCTATTCTAAAAACTGTTTGTTTCTGTCCTGAGAAACAGGGGTTTTGTAGGGAAATTAATTTTCATGTTTGAGTAAAGAGGATGATAACCTCCTTGTGTAGAAGAGGAAAAATTACACTGAAGTCAAATGGGATGGTTGTAGTGGCCACAGCCCTGTCAAATCTGACTGTTATATTTATAAACACTAGCAGGGAAGGGAGATGCGTTGTGTTTGGTTGTTATTGTAAAATGGTCAGTACCACTTGTGACAAGCGCACTTTCTCATCTGTGATGAGGTCAATGGCAGAATTTTTGTGAAATGTGAAAACGAGTTTTTCTCCTCAAGCCAGGGAGCACAAGGCTGATCTCATTCAGAGTGGAGGTGAAGGCTGTAGCTGAGGGCTCTGGGAGCAATTTCCCCAGCTGGATTCTGTTCTGCCCCCACCCTCACTAGTTGTCCCTGCTTCATTTGTTGCTGCAAGATTGAAATATCCAGAAACAAATAGCAATTGGCTGCAAAAAGGTTTTACTTATGCAGTGCATTTGGATTTGACAATTCATCATCACCTCTAAAGGGGCAGAAGAAATGTATGGTTTGGTGGACAAGACAGTCTCACAAATAGAGGTTAAGCTCTGATGCTCAGTGCTGTCTCTCTAGCTGTGGTGTGAATGCAATTTTCTGGGAAGGTTTTCTTTTTGCTTGTATGTGTAATGATTTGATTTCTTCAGGTTGATAAGCTGCTTGAAGCTGGCGCAGATATCCTTGCACCAGTTACTCTTAGGGAAGGACAGAGAAAAGCTGTGGGAACACCTGTTGACTATGCCTATTATAAATATTATCAGGTATGACTTTACTTCCCATATCTGTGTATTTGCATCCATTCAAATACATGGCCTGTTGTGTTCTTATGAATTGTCTAGGGCCTTCTTCAGAAACTTTAATGGAAATCTGCATTTTCCCTTCATTTGTTGTGAGACTCAGTTCAGCACTAAACGAAACATTAATCACTTGAAGTCTGAACACCTCTAATAGTTTTGCCTGTGAAGGCAATCTTTGCTGTCACATATTATAGTAAGGTTCCAATCATAGCCGGATTGTAAAGAGTTCATCTTAAACCAAGGCATTCAAACCAAAATTAATATGTGTTTCCATGAGGCTTCAGTCAAATCAGGAGAAATTATTACAGGTTATATATTATGGTAATTTTAGATGTGTTGTAAGCTATGATTGGACATTATTGATCAAACTTTAAAACAATGGATTTCCTAAATACAATATATATTTAAATAAAACATACATTAATATATTTATAATGTATATTATGTATTGTATATAAACCAACTAAAATATGTATTTACTAAACAAATACATGGATTTACTAGTCTTTAATCATTTATGAATACCTTATAAAAAGAATCTTACTGTGAAATATAACAAATTTCTGCCTGATTTTTTTTTTCTGCATATATTTGTTTAGAAAAACTTCTAATAGGCCTGGGATTTTGTGACAGTTCTAATTAGAAGTAATGTAAAATTTTTTTTTTTTTTATAGCCTTATTAACAAGAAAACTTACATGATAAGCAGATTGTGTATCTCTGGAACATAAACAGTAGTTCTGAAAAGAACAAAAGTAGTGGTGCACCTTGTTCATGGAGCAGCCTGCTTAGAGTTGATGAGGGTTATGGCATCCCACACTGATATTCTATGTAGACATTAAGTTGCGATTTATTTGCTTGCAATTGCAGCTGATCCTCAAACAGGAAAACAAATTAAGCAGTTTATAGCTGTAATCACAGGTCAAACTTGATTACTATACTCCAGGTACCTTACTTACTCTCCTGCCTTACTCTGGACTTTTGTCTGTACTCTCCTTGCTGGCACTCCCTACAGGGAAGCAGTATGGGGAACTGAGGAACATGATAGTGGACAAGCAGTGCCCTCTAGCTGTTTTTTTCATTTCCAAGAAACTTGGTGCTTCCAGAAGTGCTGGGAGAGAGTCTGCAAGATGAGGACAGCTTCCAAGCACAAGGTCCTGCACCAGGATCAGGACAGCCCTGAAATGCTGGGGTTTCAACCCCAAGCCCTAAATTAAGGTTGACATACGGGTGATTCCCACAACCCTTCCCAAAGGGGTGATGAGTTTACCTTTAGGCTTCCCTCCAGGGTGCAGCCGTTGCAGATAGAGCCATTGGGTAAAGGAGCCCCGGGTGTCTGCATTAAGTAACCCAAGGCCAGGTGTCCCACTGAGGGATAAAAGCTGGGACCCCTTGCAGGAGGGGCAGTGTCTGTCTGTGAGGTGGATGCCCTGTGCAGAGTTCCCTGTTGGGGAAGGACCTCCCGCCTCCCTGGGACTGGGCTCCAGTCAGGTTTGGCCTTTGTAAACACAGGCTGTGTAGAGATTCAGTATGTGGCTTCCTTGGTCTTATGTGTTTGGTTTGTTGACTTGGTTGTCTCCCGTCCCTTCTATGGGAAACTGCATTTCACCATTTATTCTACCCATTTGGTCATGCGGTGGTGTTGTTGGGGTCAGTGGGATTGATGTAATTTATGTATAATCTGACTTGTTTGTACCCCCAGTGCTCACCCATGTACTGACCCTTTTGTATCAAATACCATTTGGTTATTGATTCATCTTTATGCTGGCTGTGTCCTTTATGCTAGCCCTAATAACTGGCAAAACAAGCCCCCAGTACTAATGCAGGCTGGGGGTAAAGGGATTGAGAGCAGCCCTGTGACAAAGGACTTGGTGGTTGAAAAGCTGGACATAACCTGGCAATGTGTGCTCGCAGCCCAGAAAACCAGCTGTACCCTGGGCTGCATCAAGAGCTGTGTGGCCAGCAGGTCCAGGAAGGGGATTCTGCCCTCTCCTCTGCCTCATGAGAACCCCCCCTGCAGTGCTGTAGCCAGCTCTGGGGCCCCCAGCACAAGAAAGACAAGGACCTGCTCGAGCGGGTCCAGAGGAGGCCACAAACATGGTCAGAGGGGTGGAACAGCTCTCTGTGAGGACAGGCTGGGAGAGCTGGGGGTGTTCAGCCTGGAACAGAGGAAGCTCCGGGGAGACCTTAGAGCAGCCTTCCAGTACTCAAAAGGGGCTACAGGAAAGCTGAGGACAGACGTTTTAGTAGGGCCTGATGCCATAAGACAAGGGGAGATGGTTTTAAACTAAAAGGGGGTAGATTCAGACTAGATGTAAAGAAGATACTTTTTACAATGAGGGCGGTGAAAGGCTGGCACAGGTTGCCCAGAGAGGTGGTAGATGTCCCCTCCCTGGAAACATTCAAGGTCAGACTGGGCAGGGCTCTGAGCAACCTGGTCTAGTTGAAGGTGTCCCTGCTCATTGCAGGAGGGTTGGACTAGATGACCTTTACAGGTCCCTCCCAACCCAAACTATTCTATGATTCCCCCCTGAAGAAACATTTGAAAATTGGTTTTGTTAACTTGTTGAATACTCACCAAACTGATAATTGGAACAACTGGAACATCTAACCTGGACATGTCCTGTGTCCTGTATCACAGACTGAGCTCCAAGCCAGGATCCAGCAGGGGTGATGCTGTGCATTTGCAATGGGTTGGCTTTAAATCTGAAACACTTGTGTGTTAGTGTTCTCATACATTAGGGAATTAACTCATGGTATGTTGCAGGACAGAAGAATTGCTCACACACCATACCACATACTGTCAGCATCTGAGCAGGAAGTTTTTCAAACACGCCGATCGCTGCTGGAACACATTACAGCAAAGCTTCGTGAGCGTGTCATCCTGAAAGAGAAAGAATGGGATCGAGAAGAGCTGAGAAGATCCAAAAAATGTTAGTTTAAGCCTAAGAGCAGTTTGATATTAAGGGTAGCATCACCTGGTGTGAAGGGGAATTAACTGTTGTAATTCCAGTGGTGCTGTCTGAAAAGGTAACACCTAATAAAAACTGCTCCTACATATTTGGTAAGGAGATACAGGGGTTCTACAAACATTAAAGAGAATGAACAAAAAAATCTGAAACAGAAAATCTAAATATGAGTTTAGTGCCTATGAGCTGCTTCCTGGTAAATCCCTGTACAAGATTTGTTACCACGTGTTAAGCAGTGATTGAGGAGAACCTTGAAATTGTTTTGCATTTAGTGCAGGGAATGGAATGCATGCAATGGTGCTGTGGACATCCAGCCTATTTTTATTCCTTATAGCAACTTATTCTCAGGTCCTTTCCTAAGATTCCCATTGTATCAATGCTCGTCTGCTATTAGAGTAGCAACAATGAATATACAAATTAAGATGATTTGAGTTATATCCTCAGTAGTGCTCAAGTGTGTGGTGAAATCAGGCTTAGAATCTAGGTCTCTGAATACGTCTTTGGGGCAGAAGATGTATAATGCTTGGGAAGTGAACTCTGAACATAAGATTGTTACCTTTGCAGTTCAGCATAACCTGTGATTCTGCGGCTTGTCAGAAGCAGGAATTAAGAGTAAATTATCTGTATGATTTCTTTCTCTCGGCTGTGACATAGCAACTTGGTGCCTTTTTTCTTGGCTTCTGAAGCTTATTGATGGAAATTGCATTTTACTATGTATCTTCAAATTTTATACAGTATACAGAGCCAAGCAGACTTTTAACGAAGGTGAATCTTGAGACTAATGTCTAATTCAAGTCAGAATACTGATTTTTGTTTTCCCCCGTGCCTCCTTTTGTCGATGTAGTGGATTCAGCCGTTCCTAGGCGTGATTCAAAGAAGAAAGGAGGGAGCCATCGTGTGGAAGAAGTGAGGTAGGGCAGAGACTGCATTCAAGTATTTGTTCTTAAAATCAAAAATGCTATGCCCTGTTTTTTTTTCTGTCACCAAAATTATTGTCACCCTGACATTTTTCTCCTTTCTAATTTTCCTCTCTAGTCTACCCAGACTTATCAGCTGCAGTTAGCTTCTTTCTCTGCTTTGATCACATCACTCCTTTTCATCTTCAGACTTTGCCATATATTGTCATCTTGTCCGAAGCAGTGTGTCTTTGTGTTTTAAACCAATTATGACATGAGTACCGTGCAAATGCTAAGAAATAGGCCCATACAAATTTTGTAGCTTACATTTCTTCAGAAATTGCAGGAAAGACCTGTGCAATTTGAATGTTATTTTTGGAATTGTATATTAACAAAAGTTTGAATAATAATTGAAATAATACTTACCTCAAGGATACTGAATTCTGTCATCAGTTTTCCCTATTGCAGGGAATTCACAGGCTCCTGAACTTTGTCTCAGTTTTTGAATCAAGGGGAACTAACATAGGTGTCAGGAACTGGGGCACTTTTGAAGACAGAAATTTTGAGGTAGCATTTTTGTTGAATTGAGATGGATCAATAATAGCATAAGATGCAGAAATAGCCAGAAGAATGTAAAGTGAAATAAAAATAAAATCCAGAAGGTTAAAGTAGCACAAAAAGATTTTACCAACAGATCTCAGCTATGACTTGCAGAGATGGATGAAACCTCAGTCAAACTTGGTAGCTCTTGGGAAATGTTTCTTAAATGCTTTTAAAAGATGTAAACACATAGCCCAGCTTGCTCTTAGATCAAACATTCTACTTCCCAGTCCCGCTGAAAGCCTTAGTCCAAGCACTCTTCACTTTATGCTCCAATTTTGGAATAACTGTTGTGGTTCAGTGGCCTATGAGTGTCCCTGATTGTCTCTTCAGTATCCCAGTGGGTTCTGCGTGGGTTTTTTAAAGACTGACATCTTGACTTTGTTATCTCTGGCCATATGTAATCAGGTCTGCCTGCCAGTTTGAAAATGGACATCTCCAGATCCAGTGTCATAAGTACACTGAAGCATGCAGTGTGACAGCATATAGCAGGATGTGGCTATCCATTTAGTAAAGGCTTGGGCATGTTTCTCACTAGGACACTTGGCTTTTCTGGTGACTGGCTTTGCAGGTGGTATGCAGTCTATTCCACACAGACTCCTGTGAGAAGCTAGAGAGTCTCCTGTTTCTTTATTGTTGAACATATTTCTATATTATAGCCATTTTAATTTAGTTTTATGGTGATCTGCAAGCATGCTGTCAGCTTGAGGAAAATCCTAAATAATAATGTGCTTTCATTTTACAACTACTTCTGTTCTAGACTACCATACTTTAAATATTGCTATCAGTGTGGACATTCAGTTGGTGTTCAGCTGTCACCTTGTATGCGTTGCCATGAAGTCTTCACTTGCAGTGTGACTTGCAGAAGCAAATCCTGGAATGAACAGCATAGGCAGGAATGCTCGGGATTGCTGGGTATGTCTGACAGTCATTACTATATAAAGTACAGTGGTTTGTGCATGTGTACTGACCTAGGTATGTCTTCCTTGTAATGGCCCAGTAAAATGTGTGTTCTGAAAGAATTTAAATAAAAAGGTTCAGCTCATTCACTTGAATAGCTGTGGGTTTTGTAAACCCACCAGCTTTGAGAGCTACTACTGTGTCATTACTTCCAGTTTTGAGAGAGAAGAATCTTTAAGGTGAGTGCAGAGCAAAGGAAATACTCTGTAAGACTGTTAGCTACTGTGAACATCAACAGGCAACTTTCCAGGCTGAAAGACCACAGAAGATCTAATAAGCTAGGCAGAGTGGAACTTTCTGTACAAACTCCCCTCTTAATTGCCTCTATCTGTATATTAGAAGTTAAATCAATGAGTTTCTGACTGGAATTGTTGATACCACGCTACTGTGGTTCTTGGAAACCACAATTGTGCTGATAAAACCAGCATTACACTGCATTACACACACCGCATGCTACACAGCAGTGAAAGACTAGCATGGTAAAAATGGCACTATTTTAATTATGTCAGATGCTCACATAGATTGAATGAGAAATCTGTCAAATGTGAGGATGGATACAGAGCTGCTGTATTCACTGAAGTTCTGTGATCTGTGTTCTGGTGGTTGCCTGGGATGGGGCTTTTAAATCTGGCTACATGTAGAACCCTGTTTGTTGGGGATAGCTGGATCTGTCCCACTGGAGATAAGTTACATCAAACATACATGCTTACCAATATGGGCTCTAAATAGAATCAAAATATTGACTAATGGAATAGAATAGAACATCAAACTACAAGAACAAATGATGGGTAATACCAAGGACTTAAGCATGAAAAAAAAATACATTAATTTAGAAAACAGAGTTTTACTACCTTGTCTTTAAAATTGTAATGTTAGGGGTACAGCTAGGCAATATTAGAATGTTAACTAGTAATTATATAAGTTACTGCTTCTTTGTGTAGTAATCATTTACCTGTATGGCAAATGCCAAATTTAATTCAATTCAGAGTAAGTGTGAGTGTCTTCCTGTAGACAGAATTTTTCTCAGAAATAAATAAATTTCTTTTTAAGTAGTATCTTCCTTTCTAGTTAATTTTCAAGTAGAAAGATTTTTGTTTGTTCCCTTTTTTCTTTTTTCTCTACAGTGGTTGGTTGTAATTTAAAATGACCCACAGTTCCCGAACTCAGGCCAGTTTGAGCAATTCAATCTGTTGCTCTGAGAGCCTCTGATGTCCTCTGTCCTATTTCCTGATTCCTGTGCCTTTCACTGTAGGGTGATGTGATTAGCATTTATTTTGTACCTTACCAGCAAATCTCTCAATATTTAACTGAGACCTGAAGTAATTATTAATTGCAGGATTAATACATTCTCAGATATGTTTACTAGAAGAAACAAATATCATTTGCATACTAATAATGTGATCACTGTTTGCTAAGAAGTTTATAGGTGAGTAGGTAGCCACAGCTACCTGAGAGTTGTGTCTGTTAACATCACGTTTGATAAACAATGCCAAAATAGGAACTTCCTCAAGTCTTGTACCTGCTTCCAGTTTATTGTTCCAGAGAAACTGAGGGTCATCAAAGAAATATGGGTGGTTGGTTTTTTTCTTCTTTTTTTTTTCTTTTTTTTTTTTTTTCCACAGAGAAGAGTACAGGTCAAGCAGCTCTGGATGCAAGCAGTGCAGCATGCAAAAAGAATGTCACTGGCAAAAAGGGGGAAAATGTAAGAGAAGGAAAAGATCAAAGGAGAGCTGGAAGAAAGAGTAAAGTTGGCATTGGTGGAAGAGAGCATCACAGGAAGAATGACTGACTTGTTTCAAATCTCTCCTACTATTATGTGGACAAATTTTAATACCACTGTACTTTCTGCCTTGTATTCCACTCCTGCTAAGGTTAGAAGTGATCTATTTTGACATGTTTTGCAAAACTAAATGGAAACATCTAAGATACCACATATGAGCTCAAGTGTGATAATGCCATTGAAAACCAGTGTGTGTGTATATATACAAGTTATGTATTTAAATAAATGTTTGGAATTCATATTGGTTTTAATGGTCTAATACTGTATATATGTATTTTAAAACCCAGTATGGCCCATTATTAAACTTCATTACAAATATTCCCTCATGTAGGGAACAGAGGGCCCATTTGGCAACCGGACTTGCTCACTAGGGATTTCTGTTGCTTTATGGGAGCTTTATAGATCTGGGATCCTGGGGAGAGGTTGCTGAGAACTGTTCAGCCCTTAGACTATTAGCCCTTGATGTTAGTCCACAGGGTCACTGACAATCCTGCCAGGAGAGTGACTACATGGTTCTGGGGGTGGACAGGGAGGCCCAGGTGTTTTTTTCCTTGATCCTACTGCCTAAGTGGAAAGGCTTAAGGAGGAGTAGGTGTTTCTTGAGGTTCAGCACCTTGTTGTGCAACTGTGTCACTGAAAATGGTTTGGATTTAAAACCACAGGACTTTGTGGGGGTCAAGGACTGATAGGGAGAGGTAGAATCCACCTGACAAAGTGGGGTAAAAAACCACCTTTGCTAACAGGCTGACCAACTTGAGGAGACTAGGAATAAGATAGAAGGGAGATGACAAATCACATTTAAGTGAAGAAATGGTGGACTGGTCTGACAAGCAAAGGGGCAGAGTCATGTGGTTAAGAGTCCTCAAAATCAGCAGAACGGGGCAGAATGGGTCCCACTCACAAATAAGTAAGTGCTGAGAGGACATCATGGAGAACCTCTCATCTTTTCTTGGAAAACCAACTTGACTGTGTTGCACCTTTCTGAAGTGCCTGTACACTAATGCACTCGGTATGAGGAGCAAACAGAATGAATCAGAAGTTTGCACGGCAACAATCTCACTGAGGTCACAGAGATGTGGTAGGAAAGCTCACATGACAGAAGTGCTGCAATGGATGCACACAAACTCTTCAGGAAGGACAGGCTGGGAAGGTGATGAGCAGGAGTTGCCCTTTATGTGAGAGCAGCTGGAATACATGGTGAGGTGAACAATGAACCAGTTGAGAGTTTATGGCTCAGGATTAGCAGGCAGACCAACACGGCTAATGTGAGGGGGGGTATCTGTATAGACTTGATCAGGAAAAAGTAGCAGCTGGAAGAAGTCTCATGCTCACTGGCCCTTTAAGCACCCTTGTGTCCTATAGAGAGACAATACAGAAGAGCACAACAAATCCAGGACATTTCTGGGGTATGTTCATGACAGCTTCCTAGCATTCCTCCTAGACTGAGGAACCAATCAAGGGAGGTGCTTTGTTCAACCTGATGCTTACAAAGAAGGAGAAACTGATTAACTAGCTTGGTGACATGAATCTGCACGGTTGCGCTGACTGACTACTCCAGCTCCAAGAATCTTGGGTGGGTTGTTATGAATGAAAAGAGCAGAAATCTTATATTTGTCTCTTTCTTTCATGGATGCCAGTGAAACTCCATCATCTTTCAGAGAATTTGTAGATGACTGTAAATCATTAATGTACCTACTGATGTAACCTCCCTTTGTTTGTAAGGTGTTTGTGTTCCATAATACCCCATGGTGGTAGTTTGAGGCACCTTCAGTTCTTTGTTTAGCTCCCCAAGTCATGGGCAAAGAAGGCTGGCTGCAGGTGGCTGCAATGAGGCGTGGAGACAAGAGAGGAGGCTCCACAGGCATCTGTCCAGAGAAGGGAACCCATAAAGATATGGAGAGCAGTGGCTGCACTTCACTTAGGATGCTGTGTGCATACTGTCATGTTATGGATTAAGTACCAATCTCCACAGTCAGAGGAGCTGGACTATTTGAAGCCAGGGCCTTTCCATGTCTGGACCATCTGGACTTCAGCTTCCAGGTAAGCCTGTATGGAGAAGCCATTTGGCTTCCTAGAGAGAACTCCACAGGAAGGCAAGCAGCAATGTCCATCGCTGCTGCCTTTAGGTCCCATTAGAAACTGATTTTCCTTCTAGCTCCTCTCCTAGGGCACAGAATGGGCTGCAGGGAGGGACCATTTTAATCCCTGCACTGGGGGCTGAGGGACCCTATCTAGGATGGGGTCCCCCAGGCCGACACAGGCTCCACCCAAGCAACTCAGTAATGGTCAGTGACTTATGGGTCATGAAATATCAGTATTTGTTTCTTTCAGAAATGAAGTCTATTTTGTCCAGTAATATCAGAACTGATATCAGGATTTGTCCAGTAATGTCAGAACTGGTAACAGGTATGGTACCAAAGCACCTGGTTACAGTATGGTTTGAAGTGGCCATAGCTTGTCAACAGGGTGCAGTATAGTAAATGCACACCACAGGAATATTTTCCTGAATGTATAATGCCTTAAAAAGACATTATTTTATATTTGGTAGCATGGACATTTTAATAAAGGTGCCTTGAGGTTTCCATGGTAGTCCACAAGTTTCTGTTTAGGTGAAATACCATTTTCGCAGCTTTGTGACAGTTCAATTCACAGTTGTGACTTAGGGAGTTCGGGGAAAAGCCAGAGTGCCTTCTGTGTTTCAGATGCACACTTTGCCCTCTGTTCTGTGGAGGAGGCGGCTCTTCAACCTTAGGAGCTAATGGAAGTGAGATGAAGATCTTGCATTTTTAGCAGAATGTAAATATTGCTGATAATTTAGTTTCAGAAGTCTTTAAAAGGACCATGTGTGTGTGTGTGTGTGGTGTATGTGTGTGTGTGTGTGTGCGCTGGGGGAAAGCAGTGACCAATGCATTGTTCATAGAGTTCTGTTGTCAAAGGCAGAAAAGAAGTGGCCTGTACACAATCTTCTGATGTTGGAGAATGGCTTGCAGAGAGCAAGGCCATGGGTCTCTGCAGGAGCTGATTGCAGCCATCTGAGGTAAACAAAGGAAAAAACCCAGGGAACAGTTATGCTAACAAAGGACTGTTATGTTAACAAAGAGAGAAACTGAGGTACACAATGGCCTTGAGCATGATGGTGAACAACCTTGGGAAAGAAAGCAGGCCAGAAGAGGGAAGATGTTGTGACATACCTGAAATGCCACAAGGAGCTGGGATATTATAATGCAGCCTTTTACATGTGTTCAATAGATTTGTGAGTAGTATGCATGATTATTGTAGAGTGCTTATATAAGGTGTGATTTCTTTCAATAAAGTTGAAACATGCTCTATCATTCACATTGAATCGGCTGCTTGCTTCTCCTGTCCTCCGCATTCTGACACAGTGGATCGGGACCTGGATTTAGGCAAAGTAAAATTATATTTCATCACTGCCAATTTTGTCCTTTATTATTGTTTTTGTTGTTTACAAAGAAATACAAATGTCAACTTGAGCAGCAGTTTTCCCAGATGAGGGAAGAAAGCACAGCTCAGCTTCTGGCAGTTAAGGGCTGGGAAGAGTACCAGAAATGATCAGTCCAGGAGATCAAGAGGCTCTGTGCATGAGGGGTGAAGTCCAGGCAGAGAATGAGTTCGAAGATCCAGAAGAAGGAAGAGAAGAGGAAAGCTGAGAAAGGCCACATCTCTCCTCTGATGGGCAAAAACTGTGAGCAGCTGCTGAGTAGGCTAAATCCCCAATCCTGCAGTCCTGCCCCACACAACCAAATAATTTCAGCAAGCGTTGCTAGCAAAACGGATTGACAAAGTTGCTTTTAAATGTCTGCCTACCCACCCGCCTCTCTCCTTTATCTGAATGTAACAGTGATGCTGCACTGACTTGAGTTTTCTTGGCCTGTAATGAGATTAAACATAGATCCACCAAATGTTGCTGTTTGACGCAAAGCTAGTAAAAAGCCATGGGAGTAGAAAGGCAGTTTTAACCAGAAATCTCTGCCGTGGGTCTGGCCGTCTCATCCCCCCTGACCCCTCCCACACCGTTGAATCGTTAGCTCATTTAACTGGTGCCTCGTCTGTGGCTGTTCTACACTGACAAACTGCCCAGCTGAAAGGGGGATGCAGGGGAACTGGGACACCGTCACAGCAGCTTGACGTCGGCACCACAGAGCCACAGGCACCGCCTCGCAGCTGAGCCCAGCTGCCCCAGCGTTCTGCTCCCACCTCTCCTTTCTGAGGAAGTGAATTTTGGTCTGTTTGGTTTACTTTTCTTCCGTTTCTTTTTGTAACTAGGTGGTTTAATAAAAGCGACTCTATGTCTAATTTTTAAAGCATGTGTTTTCAGCCCCAAGGCTTTGTGCAAACAGGACAGCATTAAGCAGGCGCAGGCAGCAGGAGCATCCCCCAGGTTTTGAATAAAAGGCAGCTCCTTGCAGTGGTTGCTGCACGGGGGCTGCCATCCTGCTGTGCCCCAGAAACCATCATTCCCCTGAAACCGGGTACCTCCTCCCCGGGCAGGCAGAAGTTCATTGGGCTGCTGCAGAGGGAAGTGGCCCGGGTCTGTCTGGTCCGACCCAGTCGTGGCCAACAGGGCTTGGGCCCTCCAGAGTGGAGCCCAACTGGGCACGGGCCAGCCTCTGGTGGCTGGAGGAAACGGGGGGGAGCAGGGCAACCCGCAGCCACTGCGGAGGAGGCCCAAACGCACACCCCGCCCCTGCCTGGCCGGGGCACCCCAAGACTTCGCAAGTCTTGGTGTCGGGGCCGGGGCCCTGGACGAGCCTTGGGCGTGCTGGGGCCGGACAAGGAGGACGCTTCAGTCCTCATGGTGCCCTGAGGTGGCGGCAGGGACACGGCTGAGGGCAGCGGGAGCCCTGAGGGGACATGGGCACCACAGGAGCAGAAGGGCTCTTCCTTCTGTGCTTTGGCGCCCTCAAACACAGGCTCATCATCCCACAGACAGTATTAAATCTACCGCAGGCTCTGCCTGCAGCAATACTGGTGAAGACCCTGCGGCAGGCATGTAGTTTCCCCCTTAGGAAGGCCACCTTAAACTCTCCCCTTGGACCCTACTTTGTCAATTGTAATTCTTCTGGAAATAGGCCACAAAGTCACCTGTGCTGGGCCATGTGCAGTGGGTGGGGACAGTGTGCAAGGTACCCAGCAGGGAAGTCTACAAATGGATCTCTGAGGCTGAGGTAA